TCCTCCGGCATGGTATCCTGGAATTGGTCCAACACCCGTTGGATCACTAAAGGTACTTCTTCCATTCCTGTCTTTCTGTCACTCTTCACCGAGAGTAAGCACAAAAAGGCCGCCTTAGTTCCCTTAGTGAGTTGTCCTCTCGTGGACACCAGGTTTAAGCAGGAATCTTTGGCCTTGCTTTGCCCTACCTTTAGATCTTGGGCCTCCACCCTAGATCTTCTTCCTTGGGCATTCGCTAGTACCACAAGGTTTCTACCTTGTCCATGCAGGGCTACCACGAATCGATTGAACCAGTCCATTCCGAAGATCACGTCAAATCCCGCCATGTCCAACACGGTGAAGTCCATGTCCACCTTCCAAGTCCCCACTTCGACTCTCGCTTGTCGAAGTACCTCATCGGTGCTTTGGCTACCTTGAACAAACTCTATAGTCCTTGGTTCGCCTAGCCGCTGCACCGTTAGTCCGGCTTGCCGGACTATGTCTGCAGCCACAAAATTATCTGAAGCACCCGTGTCAATAAGGATTTTAACAAAGCTACCTCCGAGCTTCCCTCGGAGGGCTAGTAGATGTCGCGAACGACTCTCTACCAAAGTTGCTCGTGTAATGAGTAACTTTGAGTTAGGGGCTGGATCACATACCTCTGTTTGGACTTCACCTGACTTGATGGCCATATTGGCTCTGGCCTTCTTCGGGTAGGGACATTCCCTCGAGAAGTGTCCCGCTTCACCGCAGTTGTAGCATACGTTGTTTCCCACGCTGCTATATGACTTGACCTTCTTATTCGTGGGTTTGTCTCTTTTCACCTGACTCCCCCACGTACTCGCTCGCTGGCCACCGGATTTGCCTTTCCGGAACCCCGAGGACTCATTCTTAGAGAAACTCTTCTTGAATTTCCCTCTGCTAAACGTTCCCCTTGGTTTGGCCCCTTTGCTAAATGTGGATCCCGACCCCGTCGTGTTCCCCTTTCGCAGGTTATCGTTGAAATGCACCTTGATGGCCGCATCCAACGCTTCTTTGTAGTTGGTCGGGTTCCACCGCATTACTTCGCCGCGAGCCCCGGTTTGCAAACCTGATATGAAGGCATGGAACGCATCCATATCCCCCATGTCCGTGACAAGTATCCTCTTTGCCATAAACCCATTCACATACTCCTGAATGGTTCCGGTCTGTTTCAGCCTACTCAACTCGTCCCTTAGATGCAGAGTAGCATTCGGAGGAACGTAAGTTGCGCGGATCCTCGCCTTCATCATTTCCCAAGTGGCCACCGGTCCTTCGTTGGCCTCTGTCGTTCTCCACCAAGACTTGGCATTATCTGCCAAGTATGGTTTTGCACATGAGACCTTCTCCGAGCTTGGTAATCGCAACGCTCGGAAGTAGTCCTCCATATTGTAGAACCAATCCTCCACCACCTTATAGTCGTTCACTCCCTTGAAGACCGGTGGGGGCTTTGGTTTGTACTTGGGAACTGCCTGAGGGACCGATTCCACTTCGGTCTGTTCGACCTTGTCTGGTTTTGCCTCAGTCCTTGCCGAAGGGTCCGCACCTTCTGCGCTGCCAGCATCTACAGTCTTTCGCTTTTTCTTCCGCTTCTCGTCACGCTTTAGCTTGCGTACGAGAGTCTCTAGCAGGGCATTGGTCTGTGCCAATTGTCCTTCTAGAACATCCAATCGAGCCTTGGACGACCGAACCTCACCACCAGACTCCTGTTTGGAAGTTGCTTCACTGGAGTCCTCCTCATGCAAGGATTCCTCATCCATCGCCTCCTGTTCGACCGGAGGCTCCAGCTCTGGAGGAGGTTCCGTCTCTGCCTGGGTTCGCTTACGTCCTGCCCTTGCCATCTCCCAGCAATCCGCCTCTATCCTTCGCTAGAACTGAGGAAGAGGCTCCGATACCAAATTGTAAGCTCCTGAATTTGGACTTCCCGGGAGGTCACCCAGCCCAGTACTATTCAAACCCAAGGACGCTTAACCCCAAGTATCCCAAGACCCTTAACTAATTGGAAAAGGGGGTGCACTCTTTTTCATGGGCCCTTTCCCTCTATATTTGAACCCCATGGATCGTCTCTCAAGTCGTTCCCTTTGGTTGTTTACATAAAATTAGCTTTCAAAATGGATGGAAAGGATATTAAAATCACTTAGGATCTTATTTCTAGGCTTTTAATTGAAGAGTCAGTCTACCTTCCTGTGGTTTTACAAAGTCTGATGTAGTTTTATAAAAAATTTCAAGACCCCCATTCTTCATCCAATTGGCCACACTATTTGTGCACTCAAGTAATTCATCATGATGAATCCTTGCAAGGGCTTCATTCAAAAGCTTATCCATAGTTTTGTACCTTAAAATATAGACAATATTTATGCTTATATCTTTATAGTACTTTGTTAAATGATTTAAATTTACTATTACAATATTGTCCCCATTTAAGGTATGCACTTTAGCCATTTCTTGAGCAGATATCTTAGATAAAATAAATGGACCATTCCATTTTCTCTTGAATTTATTTTCAAGAGCATTTATTTTCCCTTGATATCAAAGAACGTTCTCTTGGCTTAAACTTGCAAGAGATTTTCAATTTTTTGTCATGCCTAACTTTTTTGGTTTTTTAAATTGCATATAGGGTCTAAATTGCTCTAACCTTAAACACATTTAAGTTTTCTATTTTAGCACATTTTTGCTTAAGAGCTTCTTTATTGTCTAAGCCATTTTTAATTACAATACAAAAAGAGGGAATTATAAATTCCATAGACCTTAAAGCTTCTTAGCCATAAGTAAAATAAAATGGTGTTATGCATATAAATACTTTATATGTAGTCCTATAAGCCTATAAAGCATCTAAGATTTTTCTTATCCCAGTCTTTTTTATTGTCTTTTACAATCTTTTTCAAAATATTTGTAAACACTTTATTAGTAGATTCAGTATAAGCATTCCCTTGTAGGTAATATGGCATGGACATTTGGGCTAAAGGATAAATTTTTGTATTAAAATTTTTATTATTTCATTGATGAAATGGGTGCCTCTATCTATAACAATCTCTTTATGCAAACTAAATATTATAATGATGTTTTTATTGAGGAATTTGGTAGTGTTAACATCTGAGGCATGTTTCATAAGTAAAGCTTTTGTCCATTTAGTCACATAATTAGTGGCAACTAAAATATATTTGTTCCTCTTACTGCTTGTCACCACATGACTTACAAAATCCAATCCTCATTTAGGAAATACATCATATGAATAGGTAGGATTTAATTTATGGATTACCTTTTTATGCAATAATTTATGCTTTTGGCAAATGTCACAATTTTTGCCAAAAATTTCTTTATCTTTCTAAAGCATAGGTCACCATAACCCTATTTGTAAAACTTTTTTAGCAGTGATTTTGTCTGCAAAATAGCCTTCTGATGGACCTAAGTGAGATTTCTTTAGGATTTTATTTATTGTTTTTTGCCTATTAACACATCTCTTTAGTGTTCCATCAATGCTGAATTTATACAGGTATTGCCCTACGATAGAGTAATGTCATATCCTCAGGATAAACAACTTCTTTTTCTCTGGCAAGTTATAATGGGGTGGAATGATGCCTATAGAAAAATAGATTTGTATATCTTTCAACCAAGTGGTAGGCAAAAAGATTGTAAATAAGTAAGCAACTGAGAATTCATGTACCTTAGTATTAGGTGAATCTTCTATAGTGATGCTGTTTAGACAATCAACATATTCATGAAATTTTCTAGGTCTATATCCTATTTCAAGATTATAGTCAAGCAGATATACACAGTTTGTTGATGAGATATAAAAAGAACCTTATGGTCAGCAAAGACAATTACTTTTGTTACCAAAAGATAATGCCTAAATTTTTGTAAAACATAAATTACAGTTAAAACTTCTTTTTCAGTCGTTGTTTAGTTATGCTCAGTAGAATTTAAGCATCTACTGGCATAGTACATAGGATGATCTTTTTGATCACCTTGTGTCTAGGACAATATTGCACCTGTGGCAATATTACAAGTATCCACCTGTAAGTGAAACTCTTTTGTTTAGTTGAGCTTAACAAGTATAGATGCTTCTTTGAGGCATTATTTATTAAAAATGTTTGTTGACAATTTTTGTCTTATATAAATGGAGTAAGTGGCTTGATAGTACTAAAGCCTTTATATTTAGTAGTTAGAAACTTTTTCACATTTGCTAATTAAGCTGAAAAAAGTTGGAATCTTAAGTCTACTAAAAATGTTTTATTTAGAGCATCATCACCTAACCTTGAATTTCAACACACCCACACATCATATCCCCAGAAGGATGTACCTTAAGTGACAAAGCAGAGCGTGATATAAAATGCCACGTGGCACAGACAGAGAGAGAGAGAGAGAGAGAGAGAGAGAGAGTCCTCTCTAACTTTGCAAGGGACTAACAATGCCATCCTCTATGTCACAAGCTTCAACCTCTTAAATCCAAGGTCTCTCAGGCCGTGCACGTCCTCGAAATGGAATATGGAACCCATGGCAGCGTGATGGTATAGCCAAGACCGAATCTTGTGCTTGACAAACACCCAAGTTTTAGCTCCAAACGGACGGATTGCAGTTGCCAGAATGGTGGCTGAATGCTACTCCCCAGACGGGTGATCATTCGTTCACAGAGCCCTGTGCTCCAAACACGAACAAGCAAGTGTGGAGGCGGCTTGGGTGATCCAGGCATTGGAATCTTGAGAAATATCACCTGGAATGTCACTGATAGTAATCTTCCACAGTCAATTCGAAGCAAAAAAAATTATCTGGGAGTGATCGCTGGGGTAGCAAGCGCTGTGGCGGGGTGGAGAGGCAACCAGGAAGTGGAGAAGATCTCGGAGGAGGCGAATGGAAAAGCAAGTGCTCATCGAAGGAATGAAGCTCGATGAGATACTTCTGCACCAGTTTAGCTATGACGACTTGAAGATGGCAACTAGAAATCCCGAGCTTGAGGATTTGGATCCGTCTTCAAAGGAGAGTTTGCGGACGTTGCTGTGAAGAAGATGGACGTAGAGATCCAAGGCTCGTCGAAAGGACACTCGCAGTTCAAGGCCGAGGTGATGCACTTCAACCTGGTAAAGCTCCGGGGCTTTTGCATCCAGGGACCAGCCGGATTGCTTGTCTACGAGTTCATGCTCAATGGATCACTGGACAAGTTGAGGCTTGACATCCAGGTGATCCCGGCAATCCTTCGTGGAGGTAAATGAGTCCTCGAGCAACATCTATCACGGCAGATTTGCTGATCCGCCACCTTTGTTATCACCGTTCTTGGTGAAGATCCACCTGGACGAGAACTATTTTGGCCTGAGCAAGCTCGAGCCAGGTGGTGACTGTCATGTGAGGAACTCCCGGATACATGGCACCCGAGTTGATCCACACCAAAGTCACGGACAAGACCGACGCCTACAGCTTTGGAATCGTGCTGCTCGAGCTCGTCAACACCAAGCGCACCGTCCAGTTCCATCCTCAATCATCTTCTTCCTCCTCATCCCCCTCACAACCGCGGTTCCTGGGCGAAACCGCTCTGAGCATGTTTCACAGTGGTATCGTCGTCGAGCTCATTGACGAAAAGCTCCTGGACGATGATCTCGCCAGCACTAGTAGTGGCTTGGAGCTCAAGGACGCCGAGAGGTACGTGAAAATCGCATCTGAGCCGAGGCTGCAATCCGCCCCTCTATGAGAAGCGATATGCTCGGAAGTAGCGTCGACGTTCTAGACTTGCACCTTCAAGTGATGGTAGCTCCAGAAGCTTCAGGATCCTACTTCAGCTCCACTAGTCTGTGATGTTACCCTCTAGATACCACCATGATCATCAAGACCGAGATAGGGTCTCGCAAGTGTTGACGTTATATTGGCAGAGTAGAGGCACTCCCTTCTTCCAATTTCTCTCTACTTCTAGCCAGCGGGAACGAGGAAGCATACCTATATATTTCAAAGAATCAAGGGTCTTCGTCCGCACCACCATCAGCCTCACAAAATCTGAAGTTGGGCTCTACGTTCATTGCCCACGGGAATTTGGCCAGCAATGACTTATTAAAAACCTGTGATCCAAATCTCCTGCCTCAGTCAGAGAAATAAAAGAAATGAAAGTAATAAGTGCCTGGTTACCTTCTCAATGGGAATTTCGTGACGCTTGCACCAAGCAACTGTTATTCGAGGATCCATGTATTTGATCTTTGACGTTCCCAGCGCCACGGTTTTGAGATCTTCTTTAACGGACAGATCCAAGGTCATCTTCGCTATCCTTGCATCAGTTTGAGCCAACTTCTTTTCCAACCTGGATTTTACATGAATATTATAAAAGTAGAAACATAAAAATCATCTACTTACTGTTCTGTGGTTGGAGGCCTTTTAGCCGTGCTGTGGACTGGGGGTTTGCCCTTTTTAACTTTCCCCAAGTCTGTTGCAAGTTCCTCACGCCATGTCTGCCAATAGAAAAGCGTCAGCCTCAAACAAACCATAAAGAAAAACAGACCTTTAACTCTGCAATCTTTGCCCAATCTTTCCATCTAAGCACTATGGCCTTTGGATACTGTCCGTTGATGATTACATAGAATCGCGACGTGTCAACAAGATTCACAAGTGCTAACCAAACAGAATGTTCTCTTACCTCCTTATTTGCTCGGGAGTATTCTGCAGTTTTCTCGTTAAGAGTCGCACCAAGCATCTCCTTCAACTGTAACAAGTAATGTAATTGACGTCGAGAGCCCGATCAATAGCTGCAGCCTCGAATCCTCTCCTGGTGATGCTCGCTCACCATCATGGCACTTCCTTCCCGGGACCATCATCGTGCTGTTCTTGAGACAGTCATCGAGCACGGACGAGGGTCTTGAGACGAACCTGTAGACGTTTGAAATGGGCTGCAAGCTCGCGCTCTTGTTGGCGAGCATGGTATTATAGCTGGGCGACAGCGTAAAAACTCGTCCAGGATTGCTGTTCGTTGGCATGAGCTGGAGCTCGTGGCGTTGTTCTGGACAGCGGTCTGGGAGGCGGAGGTGGACTACGGCTACTGCTCGATGGCTCGAAGAGATATCTGGTGCTCATAACGCTAGCGCTGCCTGGATGGTGAAGATCTGGCGAGCTGGGCGTGAAGGTGGGAGGAGGATAGTGGCCACCGCCGGGAGTGGTGGCGGTGGTAACACCGCTGCTACCGGTGCTCTGGCCGCCCAGGAGCAGGAAATGCCTTGACGGACTCGCGCTCACATCGCTGTCACCCAGTAACGCTTTTTCTTTGGCCACCATGCAAGTGTCCTGATGCTCTATGAAGCTCTCGACCCTGCAAGATCAAAAATTAAGCTCGTCAGCCACAGATCATCGAGCATCAATTCCAAAAAACTCCAGAGGACTCGATCAAGAGAGAGAAAGAAGAAAGCTTGCGGATGATCCATGCTGCGAGTGAGAACTAGCAGCCATGAAACCAGGAGGCGAGGCCGAGGATATGGAATGGAGATAGGGATCCACAATTCAGATTCCCCCCTTTGAAAAGCTAGCGGTTCTAACTGCTAGCATATACTATATGCTGTGCATGATTTAATCTATGGCTCCGATGCAGCCCTGGGTTCAAGGTCAGAGTCCCCTGAACCTTGTTTTTGGTTGAGACACTCTGCTCCCTTGACAGAACTAGACACTGTCCTTGGTGCGAACATAGTCAGTCTCCATTTCTTGTTGCTGCTTCTGCTCCAGTCGATAGAGGCGACGTTTTTTCTGTGGGAGTGTAAGCTCGTGGTTGGGGACACTGTCTGGTGGATCTGTCCCATCTTCCTGGAGGTGAGCTACCTCAGCCAGGAGGGCGGTATGATCATCCTCGAGCTTCCAGTAGCGGGTGTTGAGCTCTTCGTATTTGAATTCATAGGTGAATTCATGAGCTGCTGATGGGGTTGATGGCTGCTTGGGGACGATCTTCCTGATGTCCCAGAGGTCAGTGCAGATTTGATTCATCTCCTTGAGCTGAGTGTCTAGTCGGTGGTTTAAAGGCTCGTAAAACTCCTCCTTGACTGCTCCCCAGGTGTATATGAAGGAATCTTGCTTGAGAAGATGCTGTGCGATGTCAGATGGTGTTGGGAAGTGGTTCGCTTGCTCGCGGTACATGCGTTGATCAAGGGCTTCGAACAACTTGCAGGTGCAGTAGCTTGAGTCGTAGAGTTTATCCTCGTATTCCTTCCTGATCTCATCGTAATCACAGTGTACCTGACTCTGTGGCTGAGGCATGGCTGCTGCTCCTGCTCCTACTCTGTGATCCTGGTGTATCTCGCTAGGGTTCGCTGTGTTCTTGCCGGGAGTTGAAGTTGCTGGAGGCTTAATCTGCTTGGTTGGATGTGGGTGATGTGGTCGGGCCAGATTCTTTGAGGTGGGTGGAGAGGAGCTTTTTGGTTTGATGCTAGATGAACGGCCCAGATGTGGCGCTGAAATTAATGTATCCGTTGGCAAATTTTTCTCTTGGAATTTTGTTGAAGGGGCAGAAGTTTTGTTAATGCTGGTCGTGGCATTTGCTGGAGCAGGCATGGTTCCGTGTTCTGCAAGTGATTGGCAAAGGTAGTCGATGTTTTCTTTTGTGGAACGTGTTGAGGAGGTCGGGGCGGTGAGAATGTTGTTCTCAGCTGGTGGAGAAACTGAGTTCTGGGCGAGCAGCTGATGTTTTGCTTTGGCAATGTTGATGTGTTTGTGAGAAGTTGTTGGTTTTGGGGCTGATGCGAGTGGATTTGGGCTCTGGGGTGAGTGTGGAAACTGGTGTGAGTTGTCTTCATTGTCGCTGATGATGAGGTGCTCTCGGATCAGCGGTTTTGGAGCTGGATTCGTTGGTGTTTTGTGTGTGAGGCGGCAGCAAAGGGGAGTTGAATCATTGGAGTGTTTGTTGCTGGAGCTGGTGTTGTTGGAGTGAGTTGAGCCTGATTGTTGAGATGCTGGCTTTGGTTTCTTGCTGGGAGTTGCTCCTTCTGATTCTGAGTGTTCTTTGGAGCTGTCGCTTTGTTCTGTGGAGTTCGTTTGGGTTGTCCATGGTTGCTTGTTGGGAAGAGCTTGGTGTAGAGCGATCAGCAGTGGGAAGATTACTGTCCGCATGGTCTTCTGGTTGAGTGTGGCGAGGATGGCATGGTCGAGAAGCTTGAGAAGGAGCTCGTGGAGATGATGAGCCACGTTCCCGTCAAGTAGAGCTCCGTAGACTTCTGCTGTGCGCTTGCTGATGGTGCGATCTGTTGGGCAAAGTTCGTAGTAGAGGAGGAGGGCTTTGAGGCGATCCATATGCTGCTCCTCGATATCCTCCCATGTGAGCTCACTGGTAATTTCTCGATTGGCCTTGATGATTTGCTGTGGAACTTCTCCTGAAAATTTGAGCAGCCCCTTGTTGGAGATTTTGAAAACGGAGGCAATTCTTGCTGGGCTGAGGGTGATCTCGTTGGTGCCATCAGTTATGGTGCTGTTCTTGGGGTTGAACGAGGCGGCTAGCTTCCTCACCAGTTTTTGGTCTGGGTGTGTTGAAAAGGCCTTGTGGAGGAGCTCGAATCCATGGTTCTTGAGCCAGGTGGTTGTGTCGTTGCTAGGAAGTCTAGGAATATGGTGTATGACGTATCTGAGGTGCCGGGGTGGATGAGCTGGCATCTTTCTCTTCATTTTCTGTGATCGAAGTGCTCACCCCATTAGGGTTCTTGAGACCCGTAACAGTTGGTTGGCTGATCATGTGGCGCTCGATTGCTGGTGATGAACGGTAGAGATTTGTTGACGAAATTGATGTGGTTTGATTTGGCTTGATTGCAAATCAATGGTGGATATTGGTGATGAAGTTAACTCAAGTTCAACTATGCTTGAATTTACAAAGAAAGTATAGTTCTTTGGATTAAGAGAAATGCTATTTTCTTTGCATTTTTGAAAAGATTTTTGCAAGTAAATTAAATGGTCTATTTAGAGTTGAAAACACTAAAATCATCCATGAAGACTTTTATAAAATCAATGAAATATTCTTTGAAAGAGTCTGCAACAACTCTTTATAATGTGAAAGAAGCATTATATAGGCTAAAAGGCATTTTGTAATAGGCATAAACTTCCCATGGGCTTATAAAAGATGTTTTGTGTTGATCTTCAGGTGTTATTTCCACCTTGTTATAAGTAAAAAATCCATTTAAAAATGAATACCTTTCATGACCTGCTACTGAATCCAAAATTTCATTTGTGAAAGGAATCAAGAACATATCCGATTTTGCCGCATCATCTAGCTTTTTGTAATTCATACAAACTCATAATTTACCATTTCTTTTAGACATAAGTACAAGTAGTGAAAGCCATTGAGCATTTTGGATTAGATAGACAAATCTTGGTTGGAGGAGTTTATCAATTTCTTCCCTGACTTTACTTTGGTGATTGGGATTCATCCCATAGAGCATCTTCTTTTTAGGCATATATCTCAAGAGTATTTGAATACAATGCTTATAAAGTTTTGGCGGGTTGCCTTTGTATAAGACTAGGCAAAAATGTCTTTATAGTCTTTTAGTAAATTTATGGCTTGATTGTGAAATTTATTTTGCAATCCTTGTGTAATTGTGATAGTATGCAAATTATTTTCATCAGCTAAATTGATTTGCTCAAATGGTTAATTACAAAAAATATGCAAAACATAGTTTCTTTGTTAATCAATTTTAGGCAAGATCCTCATTTAGGGATAAATCTTTTATCCTCAAACCAATTTTTAGT